CTACTGGTTTGGGTGAATATTTCTTTTTTCTGATATAAGTTTTTTATTTTATTTTATAGATTTTATTTATTTACTTTTAGACAGAGGGGAAGGGAGAGACAAAGAGAGGGAAAGAAACATCAATGTGTGGTTGCCTCTTGCGTGGCTGCACCAGGGAACCTGGCCCACAACCCAGGCATGTGCCCTAACTGGGAAATGAACCAGCAACCCTTTGGTTAGCAGGCCAGTGCTCAATCCACTGAACCACACCAGCCAGGGCTACATGAATGTTTCTTTAACTCCTTGGTTGTCGGAGTTCCATGCAGCTTGATTTTTCGGGCACTTCTGGTTATTTATTGTTTTTAAATTGGTCGTTACCCTTCTTTTGGTTGTACAAGGAAGTGAAGCATTTCTATCTATGCCTCCATCTTGGCCAGAACTCCTAGAATTTTCATATGCTGTTAGAACACACTCCTACCTTACACCCAAAAGTTTACTCCTACTTATTTACCCAATAGAAATGAACACACACATCCAAAAAAAATCTTTACAAGAAAATTTATAGCAGCTTTATTCAAAATAGCCAAAAACTGGAAACAATTTTAAGTGAAAGAATATGACAGAACTTTCTAGAGTGATGGAAACGTTCTGTATCTTGGTAGGGATATAACATGGGTGTATACATTTGTCAAAACATATCCAATTGGCCCTGACCAGGTGCTCAGTCAGTTGCAGTGTTGTCCAGTTCATCAAAAGGCCGTGAGTTCCATGCCCCTAGAACTCACATAACTAGGTTGTAGGTTCAGTGCCCTCCAGGGCGCATGCTGAAGGTAACCAATCAATGTTTCTCTCTCATATCAGTGTCTCACTCTTTTTGTCTCTCCCTTTCTCTCTCTCTAAAATCAATAAACATATCCTCAGGTGAAGATTTAAAAAAAACATCTAATTGAACACTTAAGAATTTTGTGTTTTACTCAGTAATTATTACTTTTAAAAATGCTAAGTCCTAGGTAGTAATTTTGCTTTTTGCAGCAGCATGTTTTAGCAATTCTGAAAATTATTTCTGTGCATTCTAAGCTTGAACAAAATGAGTAAATACATGTAATAAAATTCAAGTATCCCCCTGCTGGAGAAGGTAGTTACAAATATAGATAAATAGATATAGAAATATAGGTGTGCCTATGTGCACATGCACACAGTTCTATATCAACAATAATTAGCACATCTGGTACCCAGATCTTCATTTTTAGCTACCATTTTCCACTGTAAGGAAGCTGGGCTGCTTGGAGAAAAGGTTTATTTCAATACAGATACAGTGCAAACTGAGCTAGAATGACTTCTTATGCTTAAGAGTAAGGAGTACTCAAAATAATGCTATTGTGCTTAATGGCAAAAGACTGAAAGGTTCTATCCTTACCACTTCTATTCAACATTGTACTAGAGATTCTAGCCAGGGCAATTAGGCAAGAAAAATAAATAAAAGGCATGCAAATTAGAAAGGAAGAAACACAATTATTTGGAAATGGCATGACCTTGTATGTAGAAAATCCTAAGGAATCCACAAATACACTGATAAAACTAATAAACAGATTCAGCAATATTGTAGGATATGATATAAATATATAAAATTAATTGTATTTATATATTACAATGAATAATCCATAAATGAAATTGAGAAAACCACTTCACTTACAGTAGCATCAAAAAAGAATAAAATACTGAAGAATAAATTCAACTAAAGAATAAGACTTGGACACTAAACTATCAAACATTATTGTATAAAATTGAAGAAAGCCTAAATAAATAAAAAGACATCCTATTGATTTGAAAACAATATTGTTAAATTGCAATACTCTGCACTTCAATCTACAGAGTCAATGCAATCCCTACCAAAAATCCAGGTGTGCTTTTTTTTGTAGGAATGGACAAGCTCATCCTAAAATTCACATGGAAATTCAAGGGGCCAAGAATAGCCAAACCATCTTGAAAAAGAAGAACAAAGTCGAAGGACTCTAAATTTGAATTTTTAAAACTTTGAACATAGATACAGAAATCAAAATTGTGTGGTACTGGCTTAAGGAAAGACATAGAGACCAGCTTATTTTGAACAAAGTATAAATTCATTTCAATGAAGAAAGAATATTCTTTTCAATATACTGTAGTGGGACAACTGTATATCCACATGCAAAAAAAAATGGATCTTTCTTTATACCATTCATAAAAATTAACTCAATATAGATCAAAGACCTACGTGGAAGAGCAAAACTACAAACTCTTAGAAAACAGTTGTAAATTGTTGTGACCTTTAATTAGGCAATGATTTTTAAATATCACACCAAAACCACAAGTAGCCAAAGAAAAAAACAGATAAATTAGACTTCAACAAAATTAAAAATTTTCTACTTCATAAGACATAACCAATAAAGTAGAAGGAAAACCCACAGAATGAAGAAAGTACTTGTAAATCATATACCTGGTAAGTCTCTAGTATTCAGAAAATATAAACTCTTACAACTATAACCAAAAAAAACCCCCCAAAAAACAAAAAAAACCCACATGGGCTTAAATAAACACAGGGATATGAATAAATATTTCTCCAAAGACACAGAAATTACCAATGAGCACATGAACAGACATTTAGCCTAATTAGTCATTAGATAAATGCAAATGAAATCCATAATGAGTTATCACTTTACTATGTTGATTATAATAAAAAAGATGGACAACAAGAACTGTGGTAAGGATTTGGAGGAAATAGAACCCTCATACTTTGCTGGTAGGAATGTAGAATCTGCAGCCACTGTGAAAATTAGTTCCTCAAAATGTCAAACATGGGTTTACCATGTGACACAGCAATTCCATTGCTAGATATATATATATAGGGGACCATTCCACATGGCAGTGGGGAATGTACCCTAGCCCCTGATTTGGAAAACTGATGGGGAGTGAGGTCGGCACACAGGACCCACGTCCACGAATAGGTTCTCCTGTTCAGAGTCAGGCCTGCATTGTACCTAGGCTGCTTTGAGGCTTGCTTTTGCTAAAACTCTCTCACCCTGAATTGAAGCAGCAAATGTTTCTGCATATCTTTAAAGTAACTTCCTAAAATCTATGCTAAATCCCCGAAGGATGAGTGTAACCAGTTCAATCACTTTTCCCTTTGCATTTGTAAATATCCTTCTTCTGTGATGTGATTAGTGGCATCCTCTCCCTTGTTTTCTGTAAAAGTAACCACCTAAAGTGAACCTGTGTATACTAAATGAGGACCATCCTCGATATAATGTGCCCAGAAAAGCAATAAAAGCCTGTCCAGGCAGGTGTCAGGGCCCTCTCTCTCACTGAGAGAGTGGCCATGCCATCCCTTTTTCTCCACAGAACTTCTGTAGTCCCTGTGAATTTGTTTGTCGCCGCCACATTGACCCCACAGGCTGGAGTGCAGATCAGATATATATCTAGGAAAAGTGAACATAAGTTCACACAAATTTTCAGAGCAGCATTATCATAACAGCCAAAAAGTAGATAGAAAGAACCCAAATGTCAATCATTTGATGAGTGGGTCAATGAAATTTGGAATATCTATACATTGGAATACTATTCATCCTCAATGAAAGAAAGCAACATATTACATTTAATTTTTATGAAATGTCCGGAATAGGCAATTCTGTAGACACAGAGGACAAATTAGTGCTTTCCAGGGCCTGGAGGGAGGAGGTAATGGGGAGTGCCAGCTAATGGGAAGGGGTTTACTTTGGGACTGATAAAAATGTTCTGGTATTAGATAGTGGGAATGATTACAAAAAATCATGAATATGCTAAAGCAAACTGAACTGTACACTTTAAAATGGTGAATTTTATAGTATGTGAAATATGCCTCAAAAAAGAAGTGGGCTGCAACCCCAAATCCTAGTCTTCTTTCCTGGAGGCAAATAATGTTATTTGTTTCCTGGTTCTCATTCCTAAAATAGACTGTATACATACAAACATGTATTCATGTATCTATAGGTCTCTCATTAACAGAAATATGAGCATAGCAAATATATTGTCCTAGACTTTTTCCCCCTCTACAATGACACTTCAAGAACATTCTTTACAATATAACTTGGTGATTACTCTATTTCAGCATATGTAAGTATCCCTGGTTCCTTTTGGGTTTGGGATTTGCCATAATTTAGTTTGCTAGTACTCTGCTGCTACAGATAATTTTGCAATTAATTTTACTTATATATTTCCATTACATGCGTATGAGTAGGATATGTTTCTAGAAGTTAAATTTCTGGTTGAAAATTTTTTTTGTATTTTGTATTTTTTATTGATAAACTGTCATTATTGGTTTACTGTCCTTCTCATTAGATTATGAGTTCCCTGAGGACATGGGCTATTTCTCTTTTGTTGACCAGGGTAATCTAGATTACAGAACACTGTCTGGCATGCTGCTTTATATATTTATTGATGGTCAAGTCCATGGGCTTTGATGTACGGCATGTCAAATGGAAATTTGAAGCTACACCATTCAAAAAACAGACAATCATCCAGTTTGTAGAGATAGGAATTGTTTGGGAGTTGTTTTCTTTTCATCCAGTTGGGTTTTTCTTTTTCATTTTTTTCCTTTCAACTCTAGTTAGTATGTTTTCAAAAACTGTGATATCAATTGCAATGTATCATTCTAAGAAATACAGAATCCTTAATTTCATCTGAGGACATCAGCATGTTTTATTAGACAAATGCCTGCTTCTTATATTTGAATGTTCTTTATTTCAGTTATTGAAAAAAAAGGTGGGGGGGGGAATGGGGGGCTGAATTGCAATTTTAGGAGACCTCATGGCGACACCTGCTGGAGAAAATATCAGAATAAGTTTTGAATCCATTAAATTATTAAAATTTTAAACAAGTGTTTCTATTAATCAGGAAGAAATTTGGCATTTTACCATACAGTGCTTGTAATAATTAAATATAATTAAGTTTATAGGAGGTTCTTTGATGTTCTAAAAAATTATCGATAAAAATATATTTTATTTTTTCAGGATAAAGTCATCTTGGGGACTGATTACCCCTTTCCACTAGGTGAGCTGGAACCTGGAAAACTGATAGAATCCATGGAAGAATTTGATGCAGAAACAAAGGTATATGCCTTTTATGTCATGGATTTCTTTCCATTTTCCTGCTGTAATTGTGCTTGGTTTCAGAGCACTTTCATGTGTGATAACAAAGAACAGGGAATCATTACACTTAATATTCCTAGAATTGTTACTAGATCACCAGAAATAGCTGAACTATTAAAGGGCAAAAAAAGTTAAAAAGCTGAAAGACAGCCTAGTACATTCATGAAGGCCAGGAAGAAAACTGCAAAGAAGCATATCATAATAATATGTTTCTGTTTGCATGTTAGATGAATAATAAGAAAAATGTCTAAAATTTTTCATTTAATATGTCTATTACAAATCTACCAATCTCAAAAACTGTAATCATTCTAATAATTTGAATGCTGATACTAAATTCTTGATTAAAAAGAACCCAAGGACCTCAAGTAACTAGATTTTTTTCTTTTGCATTTGACTTTTAGGGTGGGTAAATGTTCCATAATGCTGCCAATGCCTATTCTACCCCTTAGGCTCCTGAGCCAAGATGAGTTAAAATGAGATGCATTGTCCTCAGATTCCCTCTCCCTTGCTATACTTTTCCCATTCCACCCCCACCTTCCAACAAAACAAGTTCTTCCTGAGGGCTTCACCAATCACTACCAGGGGTCAAAGATGGCCACACACACAAAAATGTGGATATATATACTCTTTACAAATCTTACAAAAGTCTTAGTTATAATCCTTTTGTATAATTCTTGGCTTTCTTCTGCACTAGAATACAAAAGTTCTCTTGGTCTCTAAGTCTCTGCTCTAATCATCAAGGATTAAGCTCATCAAATCTTTTCAGTAGGTTTAAAACACATTAACAGATGTCAAGAAAAATCCATTATGATGTTTACTGGTTGCAAGTATGAACTGGGAACCCTCAGACTGCTTTTATATAGGAAGTTTCCCCTTTGGCACTTACCTACCTTAAGACACTTAAAGTCTCAAATTGTTAAATATTTTCTTGTTAAAGTAGAAAGCCATAATAAGATATCTTTTTACTTTTTTTACAACAGAGTTTGAAAATAAAAAAACTTTCTATAAAATTAATATAAATTAAACTGAAACCAGATACCCCCAAGTATCCTGATTAAGAGTTCAGTGGAATAATTATTTTATGTCTCATCATTTCATTTTGAGTTTATCATTTTCAAGTTTTAAAATAACATAAAAATGTTATACTGTCACAAATTCAAAATGACAGTTTGTATAAGATTACTCATTGCAACATTGTTTGTAATAAAAGACTGAAAACAGTCTATAGGTGAATAAGTTACATACATATAATATATCCATACAATGGTATCTATACATCCATAAAAACACTAAAAATCCATTTCCAAGATATATCAAGTTTAAAAAGCAAGGTGCCAAACAACCTGTATAGTATATTTCCATTTGTGTATAGTATACTATCCAATTGTGAAAAAAAGAATATCTCTATACCTAAATATAAGTATTTGCTTATATGTGCATAAAATATTTCTGGAATAACAGACAAGAAACTGATGGCTGCACAACTCTGTAAACATACTAAATATCACCAAACTATACACTTTAATGGGTAAATCGTATGGTAAGTGAACTATATCTCAATAAAGCTGTTGCAAAGTAAGTAAATAAAAATAGATTCCATTACAAAAAAAAAGACAGCCCTCAGAAGATAGCATCCATTTTATAATTTTGAATTTTGAGCACTGAAATGATCATGATATGTAGATATACATTAATGGTATGGATGTTATACAATCCTATACATGTTTCCTTCCACCCTCAGCTAAATGCCTGACCTTTGCAAATGGGATATCTATCAGTTAGGGTATCACAAAGTTACCTCTGAAATCACAGGAGTTCTTTTTGTGGAGTTGATCTAGTTTATAGGTGGAGAGAAGGTGAAGAAAAATTTGGCAGTCCTTTTCTCATGTGAAATAAATAAATGTACATATTTGTACAATATTCTGAAACTCTCCATCTATTCACTTTTCTTGCTCTGAAAGAGCTTACCTTGTGAGGGAGGGAGAATGCCAAAAATCAATACCTGTGCCTAGAGGCTGAGAGGTGGCTACAGGACTTCCTAGAACCATCACCAGCTCTTTTGTCCCACAGTCCTAAACTGTACGTTTTCTCTGTTTTGCCTGCAATAAGTTTTTAAAATCTTTGAAAACTTCAGGAGTTTTCAAAGAGCATTTTCTTAAGAGTGCTCTCCACCTTGTAATTTCCTCCTTTCCTCCTACTATCAAGTTTCAAACATAGATTTCAAATAGTGGGGAAAAAATAGGTCAAGAGGATTTTGGTAAGAACATCATTGTTTAACCTGCTAATATTTTTCTCTCACATTGAGGATTTGATTTTTAAAAAAACTTGATAAAGACACTCAATAAAGTACTTAAAAACAACCATTAAATAATACATTAAAATAAAACCTTTTATTTTCTTTTTCAGGATAAACTCAAAGCTGGCAATGCACTAGCATTTTTGGGTCTTGAGAGAAAACTATTTGAATGACTGAATTCACTACAATTTTCAAGAGATGCTTTTTTTTGTTTTTAAATATGTATCACACATACATACTAAAATCCTATTTTGAACTATTTTACCCAGAAATAGAATATCCCTCAGTATCTTAAATTATTCATAACAAAAATGACTCATGTTTTTCACTCTGAAAAGCAGTAAATAATTTCACATGCAAACCAAAAATTATTTTCCGAGCACTTTAAACATTAATGACAGAAGCAAAATGCAAAATGTCATTAATGCTTTTTATGGAGAAAGACCAAAACCAGATTCATCCTAAATGGTTCAAGTTGGTTCTTACTTTGAGCAAGTATAAGTACCTAGAGCCCAAATAACCCATTTTTATTCACTTTAAACACTTTTCATTGGCCCAGAACTGGGCTGGGAATACTTTAGATTTCACAAATAAGTGTACATATTTCATAACCTGTAGGAGCTTATAGTCTAAATAAGGAGGCAAGTCATAAGTTCATGCAATAATTACTAAGCAATGCAACATAAGTATCACAAAAGTTTTAGTAAAATTCATCTGGACTCAAACTTTTGGGAAAATCTTCAAAGAAGTTGGAACTTGGGCTGAGTCTAGAAAGATGGATAAGGCTTAAGTTGGAGATGGTAAACAGATGGGAAGGCAAAACTATGGGAAAACAGGAGTTCATCTACTCTGGAGAAAAGTTACAGTCTATAATTTACTTTTACCAGAAGCTATTTTAATTTAAACTACTGAGCAGAATATGTAAAGATAGCAGTGGAAATTGAGAGCAGGGAAACACCTGGGTAGCCTCAGTTCATTGATGGTCTGCCTGGGCTGCTGAAAATAAACTCAGTTCTGAAAGGGATGATGAGTATCTGTGGTTTGCGTACTTCTGGATGAATTCCAAAATCAAATATAATTCTTCAAAATTACTTTCTTGCTTTGATTAGTTAATACTCTTTTCCCTCCCACTAGCCTAGAGAACTCATGAGTTGAATATTAGCATGAAATTTATGCCAATATAATTTTTGCTAAATTATGTCCATCCCATTATTTTCACTTTATTTAGTTTGTTATTCCATCTTTTTCTTGCTCCTCCTATTGCTTTCTAGAACTTTACCCACCCACTAGTCTGTTATTACTCCAATCTGCCTACAAGAAAAACAAAAAAACAAGGTTGAACAAAACAACAATATAAAGTATATGCTATTTTTTCCTTCCCCATTATTTGAGGAAAATGTCCATTCCTTCTCAAATATTCTATATTTGGTCACTTTTTAACAGTGTTTAATAACTTCTATTATGAAAAGTAACTTGATTACTTTAATCAATATCATAGATAGATGACAGAGAGATAGATAATGGGTTTATTCATATTCATATTCACAGAGTATTTATGTGATACGCCAGAGCTGTAGCACTGTTCCAGGTACTTGGGATATAGAAGTAAATAAAAAGGATAAAAGTCCCTTTGATGAAACTTATAGTCCCAAAAGTAAGAAATGATAAAGGAGAGAGAGGAAAAAGAAACAAGGAATGGAGAGGAAGGAAGAGAGAATGAAGGAAGGAAATTTGTCTTATACTGAAAAATTAAAACAGGGAAATATATACAGAGTAACTTAGGGGAAGATGGGGAATAAGACATTAAATTGTGAGACCAGAGAAAGTCTCTTTAAAGACATTAACCTGAGACTTGAGTGATAGAATAGTAATAGTTAGAAAGCCCTTCTCTATACCCATATTAAAAAGGAATTTACTCATCTTTTCTTCTAGTGCCAGCATAGTTTCATTGTCTTATTATAGTTAATTCTTTGATCTAATCAATGTTGGAGTTATCCTTATGTATGATGTGAGGAATCAATCTAATTTCATTGCAGCACTATGTTATTGCAAAATATTGAAAATTATATACATTGTCCAAATGTAGGAGACTGAACAAACTATAGTACACATACATGCACACACACATGTACACATGTACACACACATATGTCCAGATGCCTGGAAGTAAACCTTGATTTATATCTTTCCTAGCCTCCCTCTTCCTTATATTCAGTCCATCATCAAATGCTATTGGTTGCATATAAGACATCTCACATCCCCATTCTAATTCTACTACTGTTGCCCAAATCACCATGATTTCTTGCCTAGTCTCCTTAATACTAATCTTGACCCCTTACAAAATTCTCTACACAACTGCTGATATGTTTTTCCTTTTTTCATTTTTTAAAAGATTTTATTTACTTATTTTTAGAGAAAAGAGAAAGGAGGGAGAAATAGAGGGAGAGAAACATTAATGTGAGAATTATTGATCGTTTCCCTCTCATACATGCTCTGACCAAAGGACAAATCCACAACCCAGGCATGTGCCCTGACCAAAATGGAACTGGCAACCTTTTGCTTTGTGGAATGAAGCCCAAGTAACTGAGCCACACTAGTCAGGGCTGGTTTTTCCTTTAAGAAAAAAGAAAACTGTAACTCAGCCCTGGCTGGTGTGGCTCAGTGGATGGAGTGCCAGACTGCGAACCAAAGGGTTGCTGGTTCAATTACCAGTCAGGGCACATGCCCGCATTGCACATCAGGTCCCCAGTAAGAGGCATGTGAGAGGCAACCACACGCTGATGTTTTTCTCCCTCTCTGTCTCCCTGCCTTCCCCTCTCTCTAAAAATAAGTAAAATCATTTTAAAAAACATAACTGAGAGCATATCACAGACTTATTTTAGAAAGTCCAATGGCTTCCTATGAGAGTTATAAAAATCTAAACTCTTGACCATGGGCTACTTATCTGGCCAACTTTATATTATCATCTCCTACCTCTTTCTCCCTTGAGCACAAACTCTGCTACAAGCTCTTTCCTGTGTAAAATCAGTAAGGAAACATCAGCTTTAAACAATACATCATACCAATTGGACTTAAGAGATATATACAGAACATTTGGATCCAACAGCAACAGGAATACACATTCTTCTCAAGTGCACATGGAACGTTATCTAGGAAAGGTCATATGTTAGGCCACAAAACACATCTTAATACATTCAGTAAGATTTAAATCAGATCAAGGCATCTTTTCCAAACAAAATAGTATGAAACTAGAAATCAATTACAAGAACAAAACTGGAAAATTCACATATATGTGGAGATTAAGCAACATACTACTGAACAACCAGTAGGTCAAAAAAGAAAAAAAGAAAAATAAAAAAAGACAGTCACACCTCAGTACTTGGTAGCTTCAGAGCTCATCAAATCCTGTACTCATCACATTTTGACAAGAAAAAACTGTTTCAGCACTCAGCACTTGCTTGGGACTCACTGCACTCTCTAGAAATTGTATGAGTCACAATGCTGCCCCACAGGAGAAAATGCTTCATTCTTCAGTATTGTTGGACTTGGTACTCGTCATGAGTTCCGGAATGAATTAACATCAAGTACCGAGGTACCACTGTACTTTGAGACAAAGGAAAATGGAAACACACTATACTAAAACTTATGGGGTACAGCAAAAGCAGTTCTAAGAAGACAGTTCATAATGATAAATGCCTACATTAATAAACAAGAAAAATCTCAAACAACCTAACTTTATAAACCAAGGAATCAGGAAAAGAACAAACGAAGCCCAAAGTTAATAGAAGGAAGGAAACAACAAAGATAAGAGTACAAGTAAATGAAATAGCAATTTAGCCCTGGCTGGTGTAGCTCAATGGATTGAGTGTGGGCTGCAAACCAAAGGGTTGCCAGTTTGATACCCAGTCAGGGCACATGCCTGGGTTTCAGGCCAGGTCCCCAGTGGGGGCCATGTGAGAGGCAACCACACACTGATATGTCTCTCTCTTTCTCCCTCCCTTCCCCCTCTAAAAATAAATAAATAAAACCTTTAAAAAATGAAATAGAGATTTAAAAGACAACAGAAAACAGCTGGGTACTAGACTGATCACTTCATAAGTTATATTAATGTCTAATCACTATGTTGTACATGTAAAACTAATAAAATATTGTATGCTAACTATTATCAAAAAATAAAAAATTGTTTTAAAAAAGACAATAGAAAATAATCTCCAGATTCTGGAGATTATTATGCTAAGTGAAATTAGCCAGCTAAATAAAGACAAATGCCACATGATCTTATTTATATGTGGAATCTAATGAACAATATAAACTGATAAACAAAATGGAAACAGAGGCATGGATACATGGAACAGACTGAAAGCTATCAGAGGGGAAGTAGGAGGGGAGGACTGCATGAAAGAAGGTGAAGGGATGAGCCAAAGAACATATATGCATAACCCAAAGACACAGACAACAGTGTGGTAATAGCCAGAGGGAATGGGGCAGGGCTGGGTGGAGGTGTGCAAAGGAGGGGGGGTGGAAACATCTGTAATAGCATCACCAGTTTTAAAAAGACAGCAAAAAGATCAATGAAACTAACTCTGACTTTTTCTGTGCATATAATTCTGAGGACATTTATCCTCTGAGATATAATTAAACTTATCCATACTTTAGACATATTTACTTATACAGCTGAGTAGATGTATCACCATTTACCATGATGAGGAACACTATGTGATAAACAGGCTTGGGAGAGATGAGAATTAACATTTCCATTGTTGGACTTCTTATATTTCAGATGCTTCTTGGTCATTTAAGTAGCAATGTCTAGTAAGCAGTTGGGTCTACTAGTCAGCCTGGGGCGTTCAGAAGAGAGGTTGGATAGAGATCATCAATGTATAGAAGGTATTTAAGGAAATAAGACTGGGTGAAATCACCTGGAGAAAAAGGAGAGAACCAAAAGAACCCAGGACTAATTCCTGGGATTTGCCAAAACTTGGAGATCAGATGGAGGAGCCAGCATTGGGCACTGAGTAGCAGCCAGTGAAATAGGAGGAAAACAAACAAGAATGTGGTATTCTGAAGTCAAGGGGAGATAATTTTCAAGAAGTCTTCATAGGCTTTAGGCATAAAAAAAACATCAAAGCTATAATACTGTGGTACTTTACAGAATCATATGCCCAAATGTAACTAATTTCTTTATCCCAAAAGTAAGTTCCACTTCCTAAAATACAAACTCTCAGCAATGGCATTACCTAGTCACCTAAATCATTTCCTTCATCCATATCAAATCTGTCAACAACCCAATAAATTCTACCATTTTTATATCTTTTCTTATCTTTCTTCCCTATGGCTTCTAAATAAAGTCAGGTCCTCATCTTTCACCAAGAGTATAGAAATAATCTCTTAGACTTCCAGCCAAGATGGAGGCTTAGGTAAACACACTGTGCCTCCTCACACAACCAAAAGGACAACAAATTTAAAAACAAAAAACAACCAGAACTGCCAGAAAATCAAACTGCATGGAAGTCTGGCAACCAAGGAGTTAAAGAAGAAACATTCATCCAGACTGGTAGGAGGGGCAGAGATGGGCAGCTGGGCAGAGAGGACTCATGGCAAGATAGCAGCTGGCAGACAGGGAAGTCCCCCATTCTAGTACACATAAACTGGGAGGAACAACTGGGGAGTAAGGCAGACCGGACAACCCAGGGTTCCAGCCCTTTATTTTGAGCAGAAATAAAGCCTCAAAACCTCTGACTGAAAAAACCTGTGAGGGTTCAGGTGGCAGGAGAAACTCCCAGCCTCGCAGGAGAGTTCATTGAAGAGACCCACAGGGTCCTAGAATGTACATAAACCCACCCATCTGGGAATCAGCACCAGAAGGGCCCAATCTGCTTGTGGGCAGCTGGAGAAGTGATTGAAAACTGCCAAGAGCCAAGCAAGCAGCATTATTCCCTCTCAGATCCCTCCCCCACATACAGCACTACAATGCATGAAAGGGGATTGCCTCACCCTGGCGAATACCTAAGATTCCACCCCTTC